TAATACAAGATAGTAAGGAAATAGGATGGTAAGATGATGGTAAAAGAGGATCCTTATGTGGTTTTAATATAAGGCAAACTATTATATTTTTAAGACAGTCAAAATACTCTTGTTTCATCCACCAATCATTAAAGGCCTGTAACAGCAGATTTTTTGCACAAAGAGGAAGGTTATTGATTATTTTATAAGTGAAGCCGTCAATTCCCGGGGCAGTATTACTATTATTTTTTAAAGCTAAGTCCAATTCAGCGACAGTAAATGGGTTTGATAAATAATTGTTCTTATTGTGAAAAGTAAAGTGATCTATTTTTTGTTCGATGAAACTGGAAACAGAAGGAGGAGCCAATTTGTTTAAAACTTCTTCAATCAATTCTTTGGATGTAGGTGCTTTTCTTCTTTGATAATTTTTATTAATAATAGCTTTAATGTGTCGCCAAATGTCAGTTAAAGGCGTATTTTTATTTAAGTTATTTAAAAATGATACCCAACTATTTCGTTGTTTGGTTTTGAATAAACGTTTAGTTAGGGCAGCTTGTAGTAAGTCTTTTATTATTGCTATTTGTGTTAACTATTAAAGCAAACGTCAAATTTGTAATTAGAGGCAAATAAATTCCATACTAAAATAAGACTTATTGCAAACCTGAAATTTTGACATTAGATTTTTATATTACGGTTCATCTTTTTGGTTGTTTATAATAGTACACAATATTTAAAAGGCATTCGAACTTATCATTTTAGAAGGTTTAGATGACGATGATGTGAAATATTTAATATTAAAAACTTTGAACTGATACGAATGTCGGCAAGCACACCCGAAAGATATAAAAAATAAAAATATAATTTTATTAAAAAAAAAGGGTCAATTAATAGCATTAATTGACATGTTTTTTTTATTTACTTTAAGAAATTTTGATTATTTATTGTCTGCCAATAATGTATAGGCGTGTAACTTTGAAATAAATAAAAATCGATTAGCAATATATGCGTTTTTTCATTTGAAAAAAAGTGTGCTCCTAAAATATGAACATAACGATACGGGACACCTTATGTACAGAGCGAACTGAAATGGACATACACGAACTAAAAAAAGCAGGATTTTTTATGTTCAATTTTTCGAACAAATGTTATTCTTCATAAAAGTTTTTGCTTGTTTCAAAACTTAATAATCCAAACAGAAGTTGAATATTACCTTGTTTTAGTGAAATAATAACAAAAATGTAAAAAACATTGTATCTTAAAAACAATAAATTTTAAAGTACTTATGTTGAACCTAAAATTCTGATAATCAATTGGGTTCTATGCTAGAGAAACTTATTTCATTAAAGCAAATAGATTTTACTTCTATTGGGATTATATTTATTTTTGAAATAAAAACTTCTGAAAATAGAAAGTAAAAATAAAAGGTGAAAATAAAAAAGTGTTTTTTCACCTTTTTAAGTTTATTCGGGGTCACCCTGTATATGCTTAGAAATTAAAAATGTACTTTTTCTTCTTTTTTTTTGAAGTATTGCTGTGCATAACTATCCGGTCAAAAAAGTTACTCTAATAAATTAACTACAAAGTCACTATAATTTAATTATATTTGTTTAAGAATTGAAGAGTTATAATTTTAAAAACAACAATTAGAATAAATAATAAAAATGCGTAAATTGTATTTGTTATACCTAAAAGAGGTTTTCAATTATATTCCATTTTTTCAACACACTGTATAAACAATCGGAGAAAAAATTATGTTTCACACGGCAGAAAAAAACAGATTTACTGCCTTGGCAAACGCGTCGCGCGGCAACTTTCTGTCTCAACTGCCAAAGTGCTACTTTCTGCTCTTAATACACAAATAGGTATTTTGTTACAATAATTTTATAAACTTGTAAGGGGTTTTCTCGCCACAGAGAAAACGATTCCTGGTTACGGGCGGTTCTCGAGCGCCAGATTTTTGGTGATGGTTTACTCCACGAACTTTCGAAACGGCGTCGAAAGTACTCGGGTAGCTACAGATGGAGATGAAAAATTCCAGGGGTCAAAGGTCACTTAGACACAGGTAATAGTAGGCCACAAGTAACGGGCTTTAATCGTTGCTTGGGCTGTTACAGAATTAATCACTAGCTGAAATATAAGGGGGAAATAAATTTAGGAATTAACAACCAGTAATACGGCCAGTTAACATTGACACATATATTATTTTAATGTATTTACAAAAGAAAAGGAATAAATTCATGTATTTCAACGCCCACCCTCACGGTAATATGTATTAACCCTGAACAAAAATAAATAAACAAAACGGACGGAAATGACTTTCGAGTAGTCTCAATCAGACGTAAAGAAAAAAATGAAATCAATACTTGTAATTATCACGGTCGCAGTAAAAGTTTATTATTGAATTGTCTATTCTGTTGTTGAGTTAAAAATGTAACTAGCTATTTAGTTCGGAAGTATTATTTCGGTCGTAGCAAAAATTAACTGTTAAATTGTCTAATCGGTATTTACAATCAAATGTAATTGAATGCTTCATTGAAGCAAAATATCATATGTGGTTGCAGATAATGCGAGGAGACAGGTTCGGGACAATACTAATTCCAGGGCTGAAACCGGGACCATATAAGAGGTTTACTCACTAGTGGTTGGAAAGTAAAACCAACTAACAACCGGGATAGTACATTATCTCTGAGTGAAGCGATCATAATCACGAGCCGCTTCAAACTGGGAATGATACTATTTAATGTCAATTAAATAACGGAGTTTTACATAAAATACATTTAATAACCGGGATAGCACGTTACCTCTGAATAAAGTGATCGTAATCACGAGCCGCTTCAGACAGGGGAATGATACTATTTGAGTTCACTTACAATAACGGAGACTAACGCAAATGAGGGTTTCAGACGGAAAATAAACTAATAACTGGGATAGCACATTATCTCTGAATGAGGCGATGTAATCACGAGCCGCTTCAGACAGGGAAATGATACTATTTTAGTACTGTTGAAATAACGGAGACTTACGCAAATGAATTTTTAGATATAAAATAAACTAATAGCCGGGATAACACCTTATCTCTGGATGAAGTGATCGTAATCACGAGCTGCTTCAGACAGGGAATTATGCTATTTAAATTCTCTTATAATTTGCAGTTCGGAAGATAAAACAAAAGAAAATTTCTCGTCGCAATTCTACAAATATAACCAATCAAAACATTAGACAATTTCCAAACAGTTCCAATCAATTATTTATTCGATAATGTATTTAATAAACTGTATTATTTGTTTAGGGAAATTTCCCGCAGTAGGAAAAATTAACTATAGGACTATATTTACGAATAAATGAAAAATAAATTATTTAACGGTTAAGACTTCAAATAAACTAAAATGAAATTTATAATTTATTCACATACATTTCCAGTGTAGGAAAAATTATCTATACGATTATATTTACAATCAAATGAAAAATAAATTATTTAACGGTTAGAACTTTAAATAAACTAAAATGAAATTTATAACGAACGGTGTATTCTAACAAGAATAAATTAAAGTATTTCTCAATCAAAACAAATTTTTATTTAAAAATAAATCAAATTAAATCGGTTTCAAATAGCACGGCTTAAAGTCTCGGGCAAGAAAAAAAAATTATAAAAAAAAATGACAACAAACTTTACCTAGCGGTAAAATCGCGGTTTGAAATAAATTTCGGAAATGCATCTATCGTATTAATTACTAGACTATTAGATTTGACGGTGTAAAAGCAAGTCTGTTCGATAAATCGGTATATTAGGAACTAAAAATTTTATTTCAATCTCGGAGCTCGTTCAGTCGTCGCTTGCCCTTCCACTACCAGTAAATTCCACCATTAAAACGCGCGCACGTAGAGTATCTCGATGATTTTTGAACAGCGATAAAACTGATGATATACAGGGCATATCCACGAAGTTAAAATTAAGTAAAAATCGAAATTAATACCCGGAATTAATTAATAATAATGATAATGAAAATTGACTTCATTACAAACTTTTACTTATCTACTAGCTAGATACTGATAAAGTTTTATTGTTCTCATTATAAATGAACAAATGAAGTCAAAAAATGTTTCCATAAATTTTCATCCTTTAACAGTTATTAAAATTAGGTACTTAAATACAAATATTTAAGTCCGGCCCAGAACATCTCCTTACTCCTTCCACCCAGTTTTTTAATTTTGGCAAAATTCGCGCAGTGACAAATCGTCGCCTTAGAGCAGAACTAGCCTAACTGCAAAATTGCCCATTTTCTGTTTTTGATAACTTAGGATACTCTAAAAGATCGCGGATTTAATGCAAAAGTAACCTAACTGCAAATGTGAAAATTAAGTTGACACCAGCCCTGTGCAAAAGTATCCTATCTCACAACCCCCACCAAGATTTGCGTCAGAACTATCCTATGCCAATTGGGAAGGCTCAGTTATATTTTAGTATTCAGTTAGAATAGTACTTTCCTCCAAATAAATGCTAAATCATCCGAACTGCATATTGGAGTGCAGATAGGATAGTTCTGTCTTGAATCAGTTGTCGCTAGAATGCCTCGCTAAATTTTTGTTCGTAGATAGAATAGTTCTGTCTTGGATTAATTCTCGTTAGAATATCGTGCTACATTTTTAAACGTAGATAGAAGAGTTCTGTTTTGAGAAGTAACTGAAACCCATATCTCAGTTGATTGTAATTTTGAGATAGGATAGTTTTTACTCAAGAATATCCAGTTATAATACGTGTTGATGATTTATTGTGGAGTTAGATTTGTACTGACTTATAATATACTTGAACTCATCAACTACTTCTGGCAATTAGGTGTCGCCCTCGACGTGTTGTTACTTGTAAAGGGAGATAGGTAAATTGGAGTCAAAGTTGTTTTAGTGCGGTAGAGATTTATCGTTTACAGAAAGAGTGTGCGCGAACGATTTATTATTGAAATTAAAAGTTGGACTTTTAACTTGTAAAATTTTTGAAGGTGGATGCAGTACATTCAAGAACAAAAATGATGGTGGAGCGTGCAATCAATTTAGGTAAGAATATCATGTATTATTCACCCAAAATTTAATATGTGAAACGACAGTTGAGTGAATTATTAACTTTACTCGTGCCGAAAATGTACTCTCCTATTTCTATAAAATGTTCAGTGTATAAATTAGAATATCTTGGTTTTAGATGTTCATCAAGACCATCATTTCACTCCTAAACTGGACCAAGTACCAATAGTCTATTCATCAAACAAACGAATTCAAAGCCAAGGTAGGTAACTTTTAAAACAGAAATATTTATTTTCTAACTAAATTATAAAAGCAATATACATTTTTTTTTCGTATTATTATCTCCTAATTGCATGTTATATCTTTTATAACTAACTAAAACTTATTTTGATTCCAGTTTTTCAGCAAGACCAACAATTTACTTCTAAACTGGACCAAGTACCAATAGCCTATTCATTGGACGAACAAATTAAAAACCAAGGTAACTTATGAAATAAAAAACATTTTCTATATTACATAACTAAACTATAATTGCTATATAAAACATTTTTTTTCGTATTATTGCCATATTTGAATGTTAATCTTATTTCCAGAAGAGTTACAAGTATATCCCGGCAGTCCTAATAAATATGAACGTCACTTGATGGTTAATAATGAGCAAGTTCCTCCTCAATATTTAATTCCAAACGAATGTAAAGTCTTTGACCCTAAACTGGATCAAGTACCTACAACCTTTCCGTTAGAGGAGAAAGAAATTCAAAAGGAAGGTAAGCTACATTGTTTTTAAAAATAAACTATCTGACATAATATACATAAAATATAAATTTTGTTACAGGAAGCTCAGTAAATACACGAATTGATTTTTTGGTAGAAGAAAATGTAAAATCGCCTAAAAATTTGCAGTATAAAAACCAAAATATTTTAGTTAAACTAAATAATATCCCCGGTTGTTCATTCCAAACTACGCCAGAGCAAAAAAATAATTCAAGACGCGATGTGGTTAAAATGCTTCAAGTTGACCTATTTCTGTCTTCCTCCGAAAGCGATCCCTTTGCAACAGACGAAGAGTCCAGCTACAAAACTGAGAATGAGAATAGTGACAGTGATGACAAAATTCGGAAAAAAAGAAGAAAATGCCCAAAAACCAAGAAAGAAATCAAAATATTAGCAAAGAAAAGAAAATTACAAGAAAAAGGCTAAGAAATGAAACTGAGTGGAAAAGAAATAAAATCAGGACTCTAAGAACTTCAGGGAAAAAGTATACAAATTAAGGAGGTAAGGTTCAGGTCGCAAGAAAAATGAAGGATCCTTGTCCTGAGAGTTGCAAAAAAAAATGCACACAGAAAATTAACCAAGATCAGCGAAAACAAATATTTGATGAATATTGGTTTATGGCCGATGTAAACAGGCAAAGGTATTTTATAGCTCGACACATAGAAGTGAGAAATAAGGGAAGAAATACTACGAAAAAAGAAAAAAATGGATCAGAAAGCGATAGTGGTGATAAAGGAAAAGAAAATTCAAGCAGACGTGCCTACTCCAATTATTATTTCTTCACTATAAACCTAGCAAAAACTTCAGTTTGCAAGCAATTTTTCTTGAACACACTTTCTATAAGCTCACAAGTTGTAAAAACAGTTATAAAAAAAACAGAAGTCCATGGAACCGTAAACAAAGATCTAAGAGGAAAGGTTTGTAAGAATTCGCTGATTGAGGAAGATGTGAAGCAGAACATACGAGACCATATTAATTCTTTCGAGTTTATTGAAAGTCATTACTGTCCGACAAATACTTCACGTTTATATTTACCTCATAGCCTTAATGTATCAAAAATGTATTCCTTATATGAAGAGCACTGCAAAGATAACAATATTAAAAAAATAGCTACGGAAAGTATGTATAGGAGAATTTTTTCAGAAGAATTCAAGATATCTTTTTTCAAGCCTAAGAAGGACTTGTGCGACATTTGCCACGCCTATGATATTTCGACAACTGAAGAGAAAGAAAAACTGGAAGAAGAATATTGTTTGCATAGGGAAAACAGAACTAAAGCAAGGAAAATAAAAGACTTAGACAAAAAGAAAGCTTTGGAAAACCCACACTTTTTAGCAGCTACTTTTGATCTTCAAAAAGCACTTCCAGTTCCAAAATCAGACGTTGGACTAGCCTATTATAAACTTAAACTACAAACTTACAACTTTTCAATTTTTAATCTGGGAACTAACGATGGAACATGCTACATGTGGCATGAAGGTCTGGCCAGACGAGGATCTTCAGAAGTTGGAAGCTGCCTTATCCTTTTTATTAAAGAACATTTAGAAAAGGGTATTAAGGAATTTTCCTTTTTTTTTTTTTTCAGATAACGGCTCAGGACAGAATCGTAATAAGTATCTTTTCACTGCATATAATTATCTTGCCCAGAAATGTGAAATATCAATACGTCACACTTTTTTGGAACGTGGGCACACACAAATGGAGGGAGACTCCATGCACAGTGTCATAGAGAAAGCGGCAAAGCATGTACCGATTTACACACCAGAACAGTGGTATACAATGGTGCGTACAGCTAAGAGACGCCAGCCCTATAAAGTGGTCGAAATCAGCCAAGACGACATATTCGACTTAAAACATTTGCAAGAATGTGCCTTTATTAACTGGGAAAAGGACGAGGAAAGGAACAAGGTCTATTTAAATAAGATCAGGATCGTGCAGGTAGATTACCAATTCCCACTTATAATTTTTTTCAAGACTAGCTTTGACGAGATAGAATTTAAACAAATAAATTTAATACAAAAAGGTAGGAAAAAATTAGAACTTTCCTTTGATAACATTGAACTGAAGAAATGCTACTCAAGCGCAATTCCTATACCAAAGAAAAAGTACAAAATCTTATTTTTTTGTGCAACAAAAAAGTAATATTGCCGCAGTATCATGATATTTTCAAAAATTTACCGTATACATTAAGAGCAGTGCAAAACTCGGATTCCGAATAAAATAATGAACATTTAACTGTTAATAAATATTTTACTTCAGTGATTTTAGTTATAAGGTATTTAGATACTATTTAGTGAATAGTGTTTCCTTATTTGAAAATGTTTTTTTTTGTTTCTCCCGTATTTGTTTTTTATTTTCAGTTGAGTACCAAATGTTTTTTCTTTTGTACGCATAGTTTAATACTTTTGATAAAATGTAATATATTTTTATCCTATATACTTGTTTTATTCTATCTATACTAGATAGTTCTTAGGTAGAAGTCGGAATAGAAGTAACCTAACTGCAATATTAATAATTCACACAGAATCTAAGTACTATTACTTGAACGCAGAACTATACTATCTACAGTTTACTTAGATCAAAAATGTGCTAACTGCAATTTTTAGATAAAAACAATCAAAATACACTGTTTAAGCTATACTGGTGAATTGGTCATATTTTAAAACGCCAACACACCTGGTTACTTACCAAAAATTAAAGTGGTTGATGAGAAAACAAAAAATGCCATTCCTGAAAAAAACCATTTTTGCAGTTAAGTTAGTTCTGCTCTAAGGCGACGAAATGCTTTCTATATTACTTCTACCCTTTCTAACCTCTTTGATTATACCTAAATAAATACACTTTTCAATATTTTTTTGTTCGAGTCAATAGCTTGACAATTAAGGGAATGGCGATTGTTTAAAATCGGCTGATGTTTGTAGATTTCATCAAAGTTATCCCTATTTTATTACACTTATAGTGTTCCTTCAAAACCGATTAAAAACAATCCTTGCCTTATTTCAGGAATTATCTATTTTACTCGTTTTCTATATCAAAGCTGTTTAGCAAGCAATATTTATCAACTATGTAATAATTGTTAATAATATCTAATGAAAATCTGAAAATTCTAAACGACTAATTTAAAATATGTTCTATAAAATTTGGTTCAAAAACCTTAGCTTTGAAACTATTTCAATCAACATTTGTTAATATACCTTTACTTTTTTTTGAATAACTGTCTTTGGCATCTTATACAGCAATTTTACCGAGCCCTACGTCATCATAAACTCTTTAATTTTTTTATTTCAGATAATACCACAGTCCGCCTTCTTGATCATCGGTCGATAGAAACAATGTTAGTGCGGTAGTGCTTAGTGCTTTCCTCTAGCAGTGCATTATATAAAAAAATAGTGTTAATAATAAATATCGAAAAATGAAAAAAATAACATGAAGCTCAGCGTGTCGGCATACAGGGCACACGCGTCTGCGCACAAAAAAATATTGGACACGTCGTACAACCAATATTATGGTTCGACTTCTGCATCCCATCTGCATCCTGCCTCGTCAGGATCAGCGCCTACTTGTGCAGGATTTCAGGTAAGATTATATTTATTATTAAAAGGAACAAAAAGAGATTGACTTAAGAGGAGTATTTACTTGGCTGTAGCGCGGAGCATGCAAGGCTTTGGTAGTACCCCACTTTTAAAGTTTATTTTTGACTTTTTTCAAAAGAAAAAAATATGTACGTATAGGTAAAGGTTAAATCTGTGCTCCTCTGGAAACACTTTTTCAAAATTTCATTGAGTTTTTTATAAAAAAAAAAAAATAAAAAACTCGACTTTTTTGCCCATTTTCTCAATTTTTTTTAGAAAAAACTAAATTGAATTTTGAAAAAGTGGTTCCAGAGGAGCATATATTTAACCTTTACCTACACGTACATATTTTTTTCTTTTAAAAATAATCAAAAAAAAACTTTAAAAGTGGGGTACTACGAAACCCTTACATTGCAAGATTTTTCGTCTGGAAAGTGGTGCCTCTGTTAGATTTTTAAGAAATTAATATATTACTGATGTTTTACGGGAGATAAATAAATTTTACCTATTTGTACACCTTATTTTTTACGTAAATCATTTCTGTAATACTAAGATTGGCATATATATTATATGCAAGAGTTTCATAGTACACCAATTTTACGGATTATTTTTTATTTTTACCAAAAGAAAATTTGAGTACAGGTAAAGGCTAAACCCGTACCTCTCTGGAGTCACTTTAAAAATTTGAATCAGTCCCTTCCGAAAAAAATCTAAGAAAAGATACGAAAATAAATAGAAATGTTAAAAAATGCTAGAAGGGAACAATATATTTAATTTTTGCCTACAGGAGCATTTATTTTTCTTATAATAAAAATAGAAATACATTGAAAGCTTTTTCGTCTAGAGGGTGACACCAACAAAATATATATCTTTTTCTACTATTTAGTGATTTAAATTTATTTTATTATTTTTTAATTGCAGAAATTTCGCTCAATTATATAAAAATAATTTTATCATTTATTTATTAAAAAAATTATCCGAAATTAAAAGGTATACACTGAGATGTGAATTATAAAAATATGTTTTTGTTTAACTTTTATATCGCACGGTTTTCTCTTCGAGTTAACAATAATTATTATTTCCAGCATGTTAACAACTCTTCAATCCGTTAAAGTAAAGTAAATCATTTTTCTTGCTTTCGCACATGGCTTTGATCTGACGAACTCTTTGAGGCGCGTTGCAAGAGAATATTTTTTAAAATATAAGCCAATGTCTATAGATGATAAAAGACGATTGTGAAAACCTGATTTTGCATTGTGGCACAATAAAAGACGAAAACTGCTTTAAAATTTGGAGAAATTTGTAAAAAATCTAAAATCTTTTATTTATTGCTAAAGCCACCCGATATGGTATGTGACCATAAATTCAGAGCCAAATATGATTTGGAAATTTATTTGCAAGAAAAAGTTTTTCAATATGGA